CTTGACAAACATGTGCTTTGTAGGATGTCTTAATTATGATCTGATTGAGCCTAGGGATGTTAAATATTGGTTAATTGAATAGTCGATTAACCTCATGAATTCTTATTTGTTAGTCGACTGTTCTGTAGTCCTGGGGGCAGGGCTGACAGCTAGTGTACTCCGGCCTCACTCCCGAGAAGCAACCTGCCACTCCACGCCACTGCTACTGTTTCAGAGACAGAAGCACGGGGTGCCAGGTGGGGGCTGGTCTGCGAGGGGAACCAGTTTAAAACCCAGCTCCCCTTGTGGACCTTTGTTGCCCTGTGCTGTTTCAGTCCCTGTCTAGGGGGTGGTCTGAGCTCCTGGATCTGGTGCAAGCCAGAACTCTGCTGGGCTGCTGGCCAGTCTGCTAAAAAATTTACTGGCAAGTGGCGGAGGGGAAGGGAAAGCGTGTAGTCTATAGCATTAGCCTATAAGCTTTTGTTTATTGGTTAAGCAACTACAGTATTACATCCCTAATTCAGCCTAGCTGAGACCAACAGGTTGATAATGACAACTATCATATCAACATCCTTTTAATTCTGGTTTTGCGTATAACTTGTTTCAGCAAAAGTAGTCTCCTAAGAGTTGGGATATTTTTGTTATCATTTATAGTTCAGATATAAATTCATATTATCGTCGAGTTAATTAACATTGAGGGAAGCTAAATTCTACGCTACCCTGTTTTAAAATAGCCTTTTTAAAAACTTGTTCATGTAGTTCATACTGTGTTTTGTTATTGCAGACTCGAGGTGGAGCTGTACTAGTACAAGAGCAAAAGTTCTAGGGACATGAATGTGTAACCATGTACACAGTTAACCAATGAGCCCAGGGCATGGGTAAAACTTCATGGTTACATGTAGGCTACTTTTATGTGTGGCGCGCCAGCTTAAAAGCTGGCTATCTGTGTGTACTGACTTCTAGGAAGCTACCTGCCCCCCCTGCACTGCTCTCTTGGGGAGTGGGCCAGAGCCATATGTGGGGGGGAGCCCACTTGAAAGCCAGTTCCCTGCGCATACTGGCTCTCACATGTTCTCTCCCCTTCCTCTTCCCACCACACCCCAATGTTGCTGCCTCTGTTAATTAAGGAAACACATTTTAATATCCCTAGTCCCTACCCACTCAGATTCTGAGGGATGGAGTTAGAGGATTTTTTCCAAGAGTGCAAGCTCTGCATTCATTGTGCTTGGTCTGTGAATCTCAAATGAGTACCTGCAGCCCGGAACTGAAGTTATTCCTTTGACCTTCTGCACAGTATACTTTGACTTTAATGTTTCAGGGTAAGGATTTTAAGAGGCAGGTAATTGGATAACCGTGTAGTCATTACACTTTGTATCAACTATACCATTAGTCAGTAAGGTAAGACGCTCGGAAGCTCTAGCTGTGTGTGCAGGCAGCTCGGCTTCTACTACATATAAACTGCTGAGCTGCACTGCAGGTAGCTCTTGGGACCTCCTGTGGACAGGGGCTGCTGCGGGAGTAGCCTCTGTTCACAGAGGCCTGGGCTGGCCATGAACAGTCTCTGCTCCGGCAGCAGATCCTGTCGGCAGCAAACAAAGTCTGCTGCTGGAGCAGCTTCCCAATACTCCCTATGCTGCTGCCTTGGGCAAGCAGCATTGTGGAGATGGTGCTGGGGGGACCCAGCTTCTAAGCTGGCTCCCCCCAGCTCCTGTTCCCTCCCTCCCCCCACTGCCTCTGATGTAGAGGCAGCAAAGGTGGGGGTGGGAAATACAAGTAGTTGACTCAACTACCCAATAAGCCTGGGCTTATCGAGTAGTCTGCTAATAAACTACTCTTTTACATCCATAGTTCAGGGTCAAATATCTTTTCTGGGATGTGCAGCTGGATTGTATATATGTGAGAGGATACCAGCTTCTTTTCCCAACTTGTTACACCTTTGCAGTGGGGTACCTTCTCTCTGAATCAGTCCTCTTTAGTAGTCCTTCACACTCTGACAGAGGCTCCCTTTTGAAGATTTGTGTGCTAAAATTTGTATAAAAGTTTTCCCAGTTTAAATGGGTATGTATAGTAAAATTAAGGAAAAAATCACTTATTGTGAATGGAAATGTTGAGAATTGGATCCAGTCTTATCTGGGTTTTTTTGAATTAGTTAACTATGGCATGACCTGACCTTCAGGGGAAAAACATTTTCTTTGAAAATAGGTATTGGCCACACTGTATGAGGCAGGATATTGGTGTTCACATTGCAAATTCTGTGGATTTGATTTAAGGCTCTGCAATCTTTCTTCAATAGGGTTTTAGGAAGTCTGCTTTCTGCACACATAATAATTACAGATACCAAACAACCCTTTGGTGACATGGCCATTAAAGATTATGATGATGAACTCTTACATATGGCTCGTGACCTGGCAGTAAGGCTGCTACCTGCTTTTGAGAACACCAAAACTGGAATTCCCTATCCTCGGGTAGGTGATAGTCTATATTGCTATATCAGGTTAACTTCCTTTTGCTTGTCTTTGTAAGAAAATGCAAGTTCTACTTTTATAGTAGTGAAACTTTGGTTTGTCTAAAAGGTACAAATGTTGGCATTAAAAGTGACTTACTACATTTTCTGGTACTATGCAGATTTGTTTTGAGTCCACTTTTCTACTCTGTGGATGGCAGAATAAAGATGAAAAACTAACATTCTCTGATTTGTTTAGATAATGTAGAACAGGTAATTATTCTCCTTTTCTCTAGCCAAACTGTACAGATTTATTTCTATCTCATCCTCATTATTCAAGGCCCTATGTGTTGACTTCAAGTAATGTATACATTCAGCATTTTTAAGTTATTGATAAAGCCAGAAGATCCCATCTAAAGCTATTAACTCTTAGAATGCAGGGAGGAATGTGTGTAGAGCTGCTTTTAGTGGCATCCAGAATGGAAGCATGGAAACGAAATGAATTGAAATTATGTATTGTATCAGCACTTTAAAGTGAGAAGTAATCCATGTTAGTTGTCTTACTACCGATATATAAAAAAGTAAATGACTCTATGATTGACTTGAATGAATTTAGCTGAGTTAGAAAAATATACTCCCCCTGTAGTGATTTAGAAAGCCTTATAAGTTGAAAGTGCCATCAACATCTACAGAATCCAGGCTTTTGTTGAAAATGTTTCTAGTCTTTAGTGTTGCAAAGAAAACATTCCAACAGTGAATAGTGTAAATGGATGCAGTCTCTTTTTCCTGAGTCTACAGATGGACAGCTCCAGGACTTCCACAATTGTTCAGAACTTTGCTAAGGAACGAACAGAGGAAAAAACATTTTCTGTCTGTTAAAACTTTGTTTTCACCAACTATATAACTGTTCAAAACTTTCTGAATAGTAGTATTGTTAAAATCCTGGAGCAAAGGAAGAATTATTAATTCCTTTTTTCTAATGAGATGTGTTGTCAGTTTTTCCTGTCTTTGTATTTGGTGGAAAGTCCAGTGCATCCATATAGCTGTGCTCAGGAGCTTCCCCAGAGGAAAAACTGAAAAGTGACAGTAAGGAAAGGAAAAAGGTGGTGGAGACTTAGGGTACGTCTAGACTACAGGCTTTTGTTGACAGAAGTTTTGTTGACAGATACTGTCGACAAAACTTCTGTCGACAAAGAGCGTCTACACTACATTCAGTTCTGTCGACAAAGCAAGCTGCTTTGTCGACATGGTAGTGTAGACGCAAAGGACAGTTTACATGCAATAACACCTTCTGTCGACAGAAACTTTGTCGACAGAAGGCGTTATGCCTCGTAAAATGAGGTTTACCAGCGTCAGCAAAACTGCTGAGTTCTGTCGACGTTATGTCGACAGAACTCAGCGGTAGTGTAGACGCAGGTATAGTTTTGTCGACAAAAGTCCACTTTTGTCGACAAAACTCTGTAGTCTAGACACACCCCTAAGTGGTGTCTCCTCTACTATCATGGCAATCAGGAAATGAGAGAGTTGGGGTAATCACTAGGGATGTGAATGGTTAACTGGTTAGCCTCACCCTAAACTGGTGAGGCTTTCTGGTTCCTTTTAACCAGTGGTGGCTGGAGCAGTTCCCCGCCTGCTGTGGGCATGGAGTCACTCCAGCCTTGCACTGTGGGTGGGGCCCCTTATCTGCCCCCTCTGCCCCCCAAAATCACTTAACCTCTTAAACATTACGTTTAACTGATAAACCAGTTGAATGGGATTTTGCAGCCCTAGTAAGTTCTGAAGACAACACAGGTAAATTTATCTTGTGATAGATATGAAGAGAAGAAGGATGAAGCCAAGGAAGGAAAATGAGTAGGACATGAAAAAGAGGTGTGTGGGGACTATTAAAATAACTTATTGCCAGTTAAGTTCCTATTCAGTAAGATTGATTTAATGGTGCATGAACAGTTTTTTCTTTAGACTTTTTAACTGTGTGCACACAGTATAGCAGCTCAGTTGTCTCTCCCTGGCTGTTGAACTTAATCCTTGGTCTTGGAGGTATCAGATCTTTCATGGCCTAGAATTTAGTACTTGTGAGCAGTGCTGTACTAACTCTTTGCAGAATGAATGCACTATGCTATATAGTGGGTCTGATGGGGGTACACCTGGACTTTGGCTAACTGATGGGGTTTCTTTTTCTGGAGAGAATCCTTATAGGGCAGAAATGGCAATCCCCTCTTGATGACCATTTATTTGTTGGCTCGGTTAGGCAGCTAACATTGCGTGCCAGTTCTGATGGCCTCTTGTAGTTGCTTCAGGTGTAAATTATCTCTGCCATTTAATTTTCTTATTCAAGTGTGAATGCGGAATTCCTTTAAATACACAGAATTGAGATTCCACTAAACAGTTCGTTGAATGAGACGCTATCTTTGCAATAAAGTAGTAATAGGCTTGTATGTAAACACAGGCAGTCCCCGACTTACGCGGATCCAACTTATGTCGGATCCGCAGTTACGAATGGGGCTCCCCCGGAGGACACGGACTGCGGGACCTCGCGGTCCTTTCGCCCGTGTACTCCGGGGCTTTTTCTGCGTCTCCCTGGTCTGCAGACCAGGAAGTCGCGGAACAAAGCCGCGGGGTGGGGGGCTCGGGCAGCGAGGCAGCCCAGGCACGCCTGGGCTGCTCCGCTGCCGGCTTCCCCCGAGGCCTTGCCAGACCAGGGCGACCGGGAGCAAAGCCGCAGAGGGCCCCGGCGGC